GCTGGAATTGGGCGTGATTGAGCCGTGTGAAAGTGATTACACTTCCCCGTTAATTCTTGTGGAGGTACCCGGCAAAGATCCGCGTCCTTGCGTAGACTATCGCAAGTTAAACCTCATCACCAAGGATCAGACCTACCCAATTCCCCACATTGAGGAACGCGTTGAGCGGGTAAGCAGCGCGGAATTTATCTCAACGCTAGACCTAGTGAGAGGTTACTGGCAGGTGCCGCTCACCGAGAGGGCGAGCCGGTACGCTGCATTTATTTCACCATTGGGGACATTCCGCCCTAAAGTGTTGAGTTTTGGCCTAAAGAACGCGCCTTACTGTTTTTCAAACTTAATGGATAAGGTTTTGCGGGGTCAAGAGGACTTCGCATTGCCTTACTTGGACGACGTCGCCGTGTTTTCCTCGTCCTGGCCAGAACACTTGGCGCATTTGAGAGCAGTACTGACACGCCTACGCGAAGCAGGTTTAACGGTAAAGGGGCCCAAGTGTCAGCTAGCACAAGCAGAGGTACTCTATCTCGGGCATGTTATCGGTCGAGGGCATCGCCGTCCCTCTGAAATGAAAGTGGCAGCTATCCGAGATTTTCCCCAGCCCCGAACGAAAATCGATATTCGGGATTTTCTTGAAATAGCTGGTTACTATCGTAAGTACATCCCTATATATTCCGACATTGCCAGCACTCTTACTGACGCGTTGCGCAAGACCAAGCCCCAAACGGTCGACTGGGATGAGGAGAAAGAAAAGGCTTTCCGCGTTTTGAAAGCGGCCTTGTCGAGCCAACCTTTGCTTAGTTCACCGGACTACTCGAGGCCTTTCATAGTCCAATGCGACGCTAGTGATAGAGGCATAGGGGCAGTTCTTAGTCAAAGGGATGAGGGGGATGAAGAGCATCCCGTCCTCTATGACAGCCGGAAACTCACCCTTCGCGAGCAGGTTTACAGCGCAAGCGAAAAGGAATGTGCGTGCTTGGTTTGGGCAGTCCAGAAACTGGCTTGTTATATTGCGGGAAGCAAGTTCATTGTGGAAGTGGACCATTGTCCTCTCACCTGGCTACAGACCATGTCCTCTAAGAACGGCCGCCTGCTGCGTTGGAGCCTCGTTTTGCAACAATATACGTTTGAAATACGCTATAATAAGGGTGTACTTCATGGCAACGCTGATGGCTTAAGTCGATGTCCCTGACGCGAGAGGATGTCTCGAGAACTCTGGCATTTTTTTCCTGACCTAGACAAGGGCTAGTGATTGTTTTTTTTTACTCTTTTAGGTGTACTTGTTTGAAAACGTTGAAGACACGGCTATCCAGGGTATCGGGTCGGTGTGCTTCCAGTGTTGTTGTTTTGTGTCTCCTTAACGTATGAGTAACATTTTGAATAAATTGTGTATTTCCTTTAATATCAGTTAAAGGGGAAAATTGCCTGGTGGAGTTTGGCGGAATTGTCCGGCGCTCACCGGCTGAGTTGTGTTTTCATGTGCGTATGTGATGTCTGTTGAGCCCACAATGAAGCAGGTGGTGCCCTCTACTTCATCAAAGACGGTCGTCACCAAACCGACTGCCGGCGCTGATCTCTCCGGACAGTGGCTGCAAACCTCAGCCCATCAAGATCTTTATCCCCCCCCCCCCGCGCGAGAGACTGTTACGACCGGCCCTAGGGAACCAAGCAAGAGGAGTCGCGGAAAGAACCGGTTCTTGACCGACTGCGTCGACCCCCACCTCCCCATTCAGGCTCCCCCCTCTCGCCGGGAGAATTCCGGAATCTGCTGTGCGTTCGTGATAATGTTTGGGCATTTTTTAGGGCGCCGTGATCATATATGGACATCGTGTTAGGTTGTGCCACTCCATGTGTTGTGAGAGGTGTTTCTCCCTCCCTCGTGGCCGAGGTGCCGGGGCCACCGTATTGGCGGACGATGCGGACAATGCGCCCAGTGTCGACAACGCGGTGCTATAAAATGCCGAAGACGTTTTGTATCGATCACTCTTCTCTCTTTGGATCAGTTGATCACTTCTCCACAGGTAAATAAATCTCTGTTGTTCGTTCGGGCGCTTCTTCTCGCTGAATTGTTGGACGATGGATCCTGCGACGGGGCCAGCTACCGAAAACGAGACCGGCAGGACCCGGAGTCCCAACACCGGCCACTGCGTCCGTGTTTCACGTGAAACTCACCTGCGTCAGCATTCTGCGACCGTGGTAACATTGAGCACGGTGCAAGTGACACTTGAACGCGGTTGCTGTTACGTTGAGATTACATGCATTTCTGGTGGAGAGTTGTTACTGTACACACACAACACGAAACTACGTATGTGCAAATGGTCTTCATGGCGTCTTGCAGGGCTCAACAGTGTCGTCCGTTGTCACAAGCATTAGTACTGCTCAACCGCCACTGACCTGCAAGGCGTTCGTCGTCGTTGAGCTTCGTCATAGTGCCCAACGCATTTTTGCTGAACACTAACTGCTTCATCCGTGTCATCCGCCACACGACACACGGGTATGCACTCGTTCTACGCACTGTTCAAAAACCGTGATTGACAAAGAGATTTGTAAATGTTGTTAAGAGTACAGTGACTGCCAGGAGAACACTGTGTAACCAATAACGCGGCGCAGAGCACGAATATTGTCCGCCACGGCTCAACACGAGCCCTGGGGAGGCACACATGCCGCCGCCAGCCGCGGCCGCTCACTGCTAGACCAGCTCCACTGCGCAATACGTAACTATAGCAACGCCGCCATTGTGCCCAGTGAATATGGCCTTCATGATGTCATTTTCGCCACACTTTTAACGCAGCGCGCTGGCTGGGCATGCCCTCTCCTACCTTTCCTTCCTCCGTGTACTCTCCATCTGGCGGCGGGAAGAAGCTGCGAGCCGGCGGTTGGGCGTGCCGCGCGCCTTGAGAACCTCGCCTGGCCAACAATGTGAACGGCACGTCGCTGCTTGCCGCGCGATCGCTCCGACGCACCGGACGGCGTTGCGGCATGCTTCCCGGTAATGTGCGCGTACCTCTCCCGGCTGTCACCGGTGTTGAAAAGGTTAGCGAAGGCGATCACATTCGCAAATGGTGACGTTAACAACGAGAATGTGTGAACCAGGTAAGCTGAATGCAAGAATTGACAGTGGAAGCCCAGCAACACCGACAAGGTGCGGCGTCAAAAACACCGATCGTGTTCGAGAATACGGACGGCACACTGGTAGCATCGACGAGACGCGAGCCAATGAAGCCAAGCGCAAGCGTTTTGATTGATAGGTGGGTCTTAACGTCCCAACACCACCATATGATTATGAGAGACGTCATAGTGGAGGGCTCCGGAAACTTCGACCAGCTGGGGTTATTTAACTCGCACCCAAATCTGAGCACACGGGCCTACGACACTTCCGCTTCCATCAAAAATGCAGCCACCGCAGCCGGGATTCGATCCCGCCACCTGCGGGTCAGCAATCGAGTACGTTAGCTACTAGAACATCGCGGCGAAGCTAGCGCAAGCGTTCGAATTGGCCGGCTTTAACTTGGCAGCCAATCACCTCGATGCCACGTTACCCAGCTGCCTTTGGCTATTCTTTGCGACTACCGATCAGCCCTACAAGCGCTGCTTCAAGCAGGCATGGCTGTGGCGTTGCAGCATGCCTAACTGGCCCCCACTTTAGATAGCGGTGTGCGCCTGTCCTTCCACTGGCTTCTCTGGCATGTTGAAATAGCTGGCAAGGAGGAGGCTGACACCACCACTAAGGCAGCAAACAACTGCGACACGCCAGTCACCAAGGCGGTAGTTCGTTCAATCGAATTACTCCCGGCAGCAAATGGGCATGCTCCTACCAACGGCCCACCCATGCACGCGGGTGGCAAGCGGAAAACCTCCAACATTCCTTCCGGAGACCAGCCTGAACAGATGCGAGTGGCGGTTGTTGCTGCGCCTGCGTACCGGCAGCGCCTGGCCTGCGGCACGCATGTATTTCGCGGGTGGCTTTTCTTTACCAGCGCGCCGAAGGTATGGTGATGACGAAACGCTCCAGCATATCATCTGCTCCTGCCTTGACCTGGCCACAGAGCGCAGTGTACTGGTGAGGCACTATCGCCTGCTCGGTCTACCAGGGACAACAGTGGAAAACATACTTTTTTCCCACGCGTCGAAAACGCAACCCCTCCGAACCTTCTTCGAGTGCGCCTGCAGACCTTAACGCCTTATAGACTAATTATTTCCCTTCGTTCTACTGATTGTACTGACAAGATGTTTTCTTGCCATGCCTTTCGCTTTCTCGTTCTCCTCTCTCATCTTCCTATCATCTTTACTTCCTCTTCCCCTTATCTCTGAAGGTGCTGAGCCGTGCCGCCGCGACGGGACGCTAAATATAGCGTCCTTCTTATTTCTTCCTTTTTTTTCAAGCGTCTTCAACACGTATTGCCCATGATCCCGCCTACCATGTCCCTGCGTTTCAAACAAACGTTTACTCGAGTAAACACTACACTGATTTTCGCTTCAAACCATTACTCCAGCACCCGCGTTGACGCCCCTTTTAACCGGGTCAACGCTGTGTGCACCACTGCGGCTTCGCATCCCTACAAGGTTCCCTTCGGGTAGATTATCCATAGTTTCTTGTATGTGTGGAGCATCAACACATTCAGATGCACATGCTAGTTAAATTTAATAAACTTAAATTGAGTGGTGTAGCCAAGGGCGGGAGTTGCACGCCGGTGAGCACAATTATTCATTTTGCGCCTCTCCCATCCCTAACTACAGCACCGGATACAACGGCAATAAATTTGGTTTGATGGTGCATTTACACATTGACGCGCTGCACACAAAAATCAGTTTTTTTACTTGCCCTTCTCTGTAAGAAATTTAGCAGGATTTGTATGTTTCGCCTCCGCCAAAAGAGACACCATCAGATGGAGAAGGTGACGCCGTTAGTTTTGTGGTTATTTAAAGTTGACGCCAAAAGTGAAACAAACACAGAAGAGTTGAAATTTTACAAGAGAAATACACCTTCAATTAGACTACACTTTTTATTTCTCTGCTCTGATTACTTGCTGACACTGCGGAGTGTAAACAATGTAGGATGGTTCAAATCCTGTACGGCGATTAAAATATTGAGGACAGCCTGGGCGAGTTTTCGAAGTTACAGAAGAGTTGGTTACTCTGAGATCGTAATAGACGACGTCCCCTAGGAGGAAAAGATGATAAATGGCAAAATGTGAACCGTAAGTCATTATGAGTTCCAAATAAATAACACAATTTAAAATGGCGAACAAACAAACGAAGAACAAGGCATGCGATGAATTTGAGCAATGCTTTCTGAGGCTTCTGACACGCTGTTTATTTGAAGAAAAAAGACTTAAACAGATCCCCCAGCTTACGATCATAAGTAAACAAGATTTCAGGGCTTCCTATAGCTGTACACAACAGAGAAAGGATTTCATAGTCATAAAAATGATACCGAGTTTGCCACTAATTCACAACTTTTGGTGTTCAAGATCTCAGATCGAAATAACATTATGATGCACGTCGGAGTGGAGTGCATCAGCGATTTGGATAGCCTAGGCTTCCTTAACCTGAACATAAATTTATGCGAACGGTGCTTAGGCATTGTCACCTTCATTAAAATGCACTCGCTGTGGCGAAGAATTGATCTCATCAACGTCAGCTCTGCAGTGCACACAAATTGCAATACTGAATAAATAATTATATTTCTTAGATATTATCATTTTCTTGACGTGAAATCTGCGTTCTAAATAGCGCGCTGATTTCCTGTTCATAATGTTTATTTCTCTTCTGTAAAATCTAATTGCCTTTTTTCTGAGATTCTCTTTCTTGAAACGCCCACGATTAAAGATATGTAGTAACATAACGTTCAACACATTCACACCAATTATAGAGTATGTGACACTGAAAGCAAAAATACTCGTAACCTATGTACCACAATTTAGGTGCATGGTGGAGAACCCCAGGCGTCTGAAATTCTTGGAGCCCTTCAATACGGAATATCAAGGTCTTTGCACGTTAAAGCTCAGACATCATTCTCAGTTTGAAATATGTAGGCCCGTGTGCTCAGATTCGAGTGCACGTTAAAGAACCAAAGGTGGTCGAGATTTCCGGAGCCCTCCACTTCGGCGTCTCTCATAATCATAGGGTGGTTTCGTGAAGTAAAACCCCACATATCACTCAATCTATCAATCACTTTGTCTGAAAACCGAGGCATATAAATTATAGCTAAATTGGAAAACTCACTGGACTCTAATTTATTCAGGACGTGTTAAATAATTTGAAATAACAGAACACGGACAAAATATAAGACAGGGGATGACGTGCGAGTTTTAGCAATGTGGGTCACCCCCTGTTTTCTTTTGAGCCAGTGCTCCCTGCGGGCCTGTGCTACAAATCGTTTATTATGGCAACAAAGAGGCTCAAGCCATTGTAACAATACACACAATACAAAAGGTTTATTCCTTACGTGAATAGTAGCGTATTTGGCTAATGTAGCAGCGTTTAGCCTAAATATATATGAACTCGTATGGCGATAACTACCTCGTGCGTGCTTACGGGATGCTGGCTCGTTCTATGTGAACCTTTTTATTATTTGAACAGGCCTCATGCTTGGTTATAAGTACAAGAAACTGGGATAAATGTATTAGTGTGTAACATGTAACATAAGGACTTAATGAAAAAATACACCCAGAATCTTGCCGCATTTGAAGTTTGTAGGCGTGAGGCTACTGTCTAGAGCAAAGTGCACTCCAAAAATTGCTTTTCGCACAAGCGCCCTCCCTGCGAGTCTACGCCTAATTTATTAGCATCCAGAATACACTTGCGTGCAGGCTAGACAAAGAGGCAAGCATCATTGTGCTAAGTGTGAGCCACTGTTTGAAAAACTGAAATTCTGAGTTTGCCAAAGCAAAGACAAAAGGGCACGTGAACAAGTCGAAGCGTCCATAATCTTCAGGCCTGAAGAAGACAAGCCTTTTAGGGAATACTCCAGTTATCTACATAGAAAAATAGCTTGAATTTTCACCGCAGATAAAAGGCCTTCAGTGTGATATACAGCCCGCTACGGTGGCCTAGTGGCTAAGGTACTCGGCTTCTGAACCGCAGGTTACAGGATCGAATCCCAGCTGTGGTGGCTGCGTTTTGATGGAGGCGAAGGTGCTGTAGGCCCGTGGGCACGGACTTGAGTGCACGTTTAAAAACCCCAGGTGGTCGAAATTTCTGGAATCATCTACTACGGCGTCTCTCATAATTATTTGGTGGTTTTGGGACGTTAAATCCCGCATATCATCATCGGTGTGGTTTATGACACTCTCGTTAGTGATTGTGCGCATGTGATTGATCACGAGTGCAAATTTCATGTTTTCACTAAATATCGCGGCTACTCAGTGCCCACCCTAAGAACATCAACTTGCGTTTCATCAAATAAGCAGTTTTCTTTCAGTTGATATAATAATAAAGTGCATTTTTACACTATACAAATAGAATGCAAACACGTACACTCTGTTAGTGACTCAATCTTAAAAACGGCACAGGATCGATCCGGCTCCATGTAGACCATAGTTTCAGTGCTAATGAAGGTGTCTGAAAAAAAGAAAGATGAAACTACTATAACCACGTGCGCTTCGATTACAGATTCACATAAAGCAAGCATGGGGTAACTTTTTTCATTTTGACCTCAATTAAGAGCCTCATGATTCATCGTGCCAGAGTAAGCAGAAAAAAAGTTCTCCAGAATGGAAAGAGGAACTGTGGTAGTAAAAACTTAGTTTCTGTTACGACACTTTTTGTTCCTAGGCTCCATAAGGGGGTGGTGTGTACGATTGACCCATTGTTTCAATACGCCAAAATATGTAATAAATTGAGCTTAGCGTACGTACATTGAATGTTAAGGTGTATCTTCATCTTAAAGAAAAGTTATACAGAACGGCCATTAGTCTGGCTCAGTGAATCAGTGGCTAGGGTGCTCGGCTGCAGATTCGAAGGTCGACGGTTTTCCGGATCCCTTCATTCAAATTTCTGGAGCCCTTCACTACGGCGCCTCTCATTTAATATTGTGGTTTCGGGACGTAAAACCCCACATACTAAGAACAGCTATTTGTTTAGACGCTTAGGTGTATGTGGCTAACACAACACAATAATGAGATGCTTAGCGCGATTAGCATGAGTAAAATTTCAACGTATGCATGTACAAAAGATAAACGTCGCCTAAGCCACAGCATAATAGGTAGCAAAAACAATAGGTGTCACGTGATGGTACTGTAGTCATTTTATTCACATCGTGCACATAGTCATTGAAAAGGTGAACGAAAATTTTTAAAAAAGGCTGAAATAAAGGATATCCTCATGACTTTCAAAACGACATTTTCTGTAGTACAAGGCATCTTAAGGTGAAAGTGATGTCAATTAAGGCAGTACATAAATAACCAAAATAATCAACTTTTCAGTCCCTGCAGACAGGGGCCCATGGCATCAAGGCCCATTGGAGTATTGTGAGCGGAGCCTAAGTAGCATGCCAAAGCACACATGCTAAGGCCAACCTCTCAGCCTTGTAATGATTTTTTACTCTATTTTTGCCGGTTTTGGTTGATTGTTGTGCAGTACTACAATTCGGCCGGATTCACCGGTGAAAGCGAAGCCAAGGAGCCAATCAGCTTGACTCACAGATGATCAGTATGTCGTCACTTTTCCCCGCAAACTTGACACCCCTTTCAGCTTCCTGCAGATGTTAATCTAGATGCGCAATGCCTGGTGTAACCCCTGTCTTAGCCCGCAAAATCATGAAGCGAAGTCGATCGATGGGTAATGTATTTATTCTCATTTTTTCAGAACGCGTCGGAAGAGTAAGGCAGTAGCTGTCTTTCACGTTTTGGGTGCACCGGCGTCATTGCGTAGGTTACATCATGGTGATAAAATTCGAAATGATTCGAAATGTGTATTTCATATAAAGAATCCACACGGAAACGCTTCGCCTGTTTGGATAACTTGGTGGTCGTAATTTTTGGATAAGTCTACTACGGATGCCTCGTAATCATATTGTGGCTGTGGCATGTGAACGACGTTATATGTCGTTTGTTTGCCTCCGGCCGGCCCTTTCAGCATCTATCTATCTATCTATCTATCTATCTATCTATCTATCTATCTATCTATCTATCTATCTATCTATCTATCTATCTATCTATCTATCTATTTATCTATCTATCTATCTATCTATTCGCCTACGCCTGGGTGCTCTCATAACCACCTTAACCTCTGGTAAACCAAAATGAGAGTGGCAGGGTAAGATTGTCTGACGAACATGGCTCACAGGTCATGACATTATTAATTCCACAATCTCGTCACCTACGTCGTCACATCCGTTCCGCCATACGAGTGGCACATACCAGCGGGAGGATGTGTGCCACATCTAGGCCTGTATAAGCCACAGGTGACGGACTGTTTGTAGTTAGCCAGGAGCAACGCTACCCGAAACGGATAATTTTAACGCGTGAGAGTTAAGAAAAAGCTGACATCGGCAGTGTTGACGAATAGAAAGAATACACTGCCACCAGACATCATCCTGAATAGAACTTAAAAAAAACTAAAATAATTAACCGTAATCGTGCATCTCCGAAAACTATTCGAACAAACCGGACACCCCTAAACCAGTCTATTCAATGTGCTAGGCAATTTTACGTTCAACATACTCTACCAGACTTCATACGGACGGCTCCTGATAAAGTGTGGTCGCAATCATCCCGCAAGAGAAGACGTACTCTTCAAATAAATCACAATGATATAATCGTTACAGATAAAAAAGCATAATGACGAATTTCAGCGAGTACTTTTAAAGCGTTTTCTAAAAAGATTGCGATTGCGCGCAAGCTTATGCTATATTTCCTTTTCTTCACACAGACATCGTGTCCCTATCTGGCATTGTGTCTATGCTACTGAATTTAGAGACTGAAGCCTTGCCTCGTCTCGAAAACATTCAAAATGCGTTTCTTCGTCGATACGCTGATATGGTTGCGAAATTCCTTGTGATTATTTTCCGTGCCTCTCTTTCTTCTTCTTCTGTCCCGATATATGGTAAACAGCGCCAATTGCCCCATGTTAAATTATGTGGTCGTATAACGAACTGCAATTCCGTGTTTCTTATTCCGTTTCGGCCCCATTGGTGCTTTCTGATTGGTCGTTCAACCTGTCAGTCAAGTGACGAGCCAGAAGCCCAAACTATGGTGACGTCGAAATTGCAAGCGCGTGCTCATTATACAGAAGAAACGTTCTCTGATTGGTCGTTCAACCTGTCAATCAAGAGACGATTCAGAAGCCCAAATGAAGGTGATGTCAAAATGAAAGTACGCGATTCTCTTAGAAAAATAAACGGAATCGGTTCCGCGCTACGGCGGAACAGCCAGCGAGTGAGCCCGCCGCAAACAGAATAGGAGAAATCGCTGCACCGGCTGAGCCAGTGACCTTCGCTGTAAAGTTTGTCTCCATGAACGTGGCCTACAACAGGCGCCGGAGGGATGTTGAGGTCGCATTTGACATGCTAGACGAACAGTTTGGGCGTCACTTTCGCCTGAGTGAAGCAACAGTGTTGGGATTGTGCGACGAAGTCGCCGAATGACTCGCGGGCTGCGCTCTCGGTGGAGCGGAAAAAGTGTGCGACCCGCGTTTCCTCACCACCGGATCTTTCCACTTGTCGGTGAGAGGCGAGGAGACCGTAGCGGTGATGCAGCCTACGGTCAGCATCAGTGTGAGACGTGTGGCTGGAGCGATCGACAACCCCGGGACCCGCAACAAGTGGGTTAACTTCCCGATAATGGTAGAAGAGAAGGCAGCCTTGAAGGAGGAATTTCTTTGGTTTGGACCCCTACTCGGCGTGATGAGATGCGTGGACGGCAGCTTCGTCGCATTGAGGAGAGGGCAGAAGGCACCCTTCTGGCGCCGCGAAAGTTATTTTGCCCTCAACGTCATGTTCGTAAGTTGCTGTGTTCTCCTTTTCTCGTGCGCATGTTTTTTTTTTTTTGTTCCAGTGAGACGTAGTTCATATTGCTCTTGGTTTACCCAGATTTTCGTCGCGGACATGTTGATCCTTGCCGTGGAACCGCTGCGATCAGGATTGGATGACGACAGCCACATCTGCGTGCGTCCGCGAATCTGAATGGCGAGTTTCTTCTCAGTGAGAAGTATATATAATTTCCTTTTACGCGGGATGCCAGTTTTTTTAAATGGAGATATTTCCTCGCGGTATTGATAAAACTTTAGCGCCATGACAAGAGGCATTAGAGCGCATATTACCGGTGCACAACCTCTCAGCTGTGGCTTAACTGCTGCAGTAATGTTAGGTGATGTGCTATGTCATGACCACCTCATCGTAGTAGCCATGTTTTGCGTATTACGGGGTCAATGTCACGCTAGTCAGGTACCGCGGATTCAGATATTGGTATCCTAGGGCCAACGAGCCCCAAGAGATCCCAGTCATTTTAGCAGTATTTACAACACAATTTGTATTTCTGCAGGCAACGATGGCTACTCCCTCGAATCTTAGTTTGTGGTCCTGGTGAAAGGTCCTCTTCGAAGAATACTGCAGAAGGCAAGTATAACTCTGCACATACTTCATTGCGTTTTATAGTGGAGCATTGTATTGGGCTATTGAAGAACCGTTTTCGCTGCATTCAGTGGCACCGTAACCCTCCCCTCCCTTACTCACCAGAACGTTCTTCCAGTATTGTTGCTGCATGTGCACTGTAGCACACCCTTTGTTTTGAAGGTGCCATAGGCTTTGACAGTCTCAGCGGTGACAGTGGCGACGAGAACAGTGGGCATGGCAGCTCTCTCGATGGTGACCTCCAACGTCGATTTAGACAGGGAGAGTCAGCACACTTAGTGTACTTAAGTGGGCAAACTGTCCGCAACTGTGTTATCAGCTTGTTTGGCAGGAAAAGGCAGCAACCCCTGCAGTGCCTAAAAAGAATGCCTAGGAAACTGCACCGCCTGAAGCACCAATCGCAGTGTTAAAAAATTTGTTCTGCATTGCAAGAGCCTGACCACCCGTGGTTCTTTAACATCCGCCATATATGAAGTAAACCAATGTTTTTGCATTTCCCCCTCAGGTGCTCTCGCAGCCACTGCTATCAGCAGTAATGAAACACACGTCCACAAGTGTATTAATGTGACATCTTATGTGATCAGCTGCCATGGTGTTTCCAGAAACTTAGCAAGAAATTATGAAGCAGCAACACAGTCTAGCCTTTTCACTGGGAAGGAATCGTTTTGGTAAAGCTTGTTGTAGTTAGGATTATTGCATGGGTTTGATGAGCTGAAACCACGATGTGATAACGAGGCACACTTCACTTCAGGCCTTTGAAAAATTCAAACACAGCAGGTGTTTTTTTTTTGTTGTGCAAGTAAAAGCTACGCTGGACTCTCGAATACCACCTCCATCGAAGTATGACCTCAGCAACTTTGATCATGCCCTTTTGATACGGGTCCACAGTCAAGCACAGTAACTACAGTGCACCAGTATAATTTTTGTCGCTGATGCCATCCTGCAGCCACCTACAATTGTTACCGTCGTCTGCTTCATGCCTGCGCACTGT